TTCTAAATCTTCGTTAACATCTTCAATTACTTTATTAATTGTAGAAACATCTTCTTTAAAATACTCAGAAGGGAGTTTGTAATATTCGTTAGTTTTAAGTATATCTTGTGATTCTTTACTCATTAAATATCTATCAAGGTCTTCAGGTGTAAATTTTGCTATTTTTGCTCCCTCATCTGATGTAGAGGGTAAAACTCCATCATCTTCTAAACCAGGTAATTGAGCCAAATCCCATTTTTTTACCTCATCCATTTTATCAAATCCTTCAGTTATAGCAAGTCTGTTTTGATTAAGACCTTGTGTAAGAGCAAGTTGATTAGCTCTGAGTTGAGCTATAGTTGCGTTTTGCTGCTCATCAATACTTTTTTTAATGCTATCTTGAGATTTAATAAGTGGTTTAAATGTCTCTTTGAAACCCTCTCTCATATCTTGTTTTTGCCATTTTGTTATTTTTATTACATCTCTCACCTGTTGAGTCAAAGCGTCAGCTTCAATTTTATTTCTTGCAAGTTTTTTGTATTCTTCAATATTCATTTATATATTCTTTAGATAAATGGAAATACCAAACTATGATAGTGGAGACAACCCAGATAAAAAATATAAACAGTTATTTCCTTACATGCCATCAAACACATTTCGGATGTTAATCTGTGGAAATAGTGGAAGTGGTAAAACTAATACGTTGTACCACATGATAATTAAACCACTGTTGTACTATGACGAAATTTATCTTTACGCTCGTAATTTAGAACAGGATTTGTATCAAAAGCTAATTCAAAAAATGAGAGAGTTGAGTAGTAAATTGGGATATGACATACTTCATGTTAGTAATGATGAAATAATCCCAGTGTCAGAAATGGATTACGAAGACAATCAAAAACTTGTGATATTCGATGACTATGTTTGTGATAAAAACCAGAGACAACTGATTGATTATTTTATTCAAGGACGACATAAGAATTGTTCTGTAATCTACCTAAGTCAATCATTTTACAAGACACCAAAAGATATTCGGTTGAATTGTTCTCATTACTGCCTGTTCGAATTTCCATCATCGAGGGAAGCCAACAGAATATCATCTGAGTTAGGAGTTAGTAAGGAAGATTACCATACAGCAACTAAAAAACCGTATTCATTTCTATACGTTGATAAACCCCGAAAACGTATTGCAAAAAACTTTACTGGTAATCTAACCAATAATTAAAAATGGGAATATTTAACGAACAATCTCTTGATCATCCCTTTGCTAAGGGAATACAAGGAGCACCAGGAGTAGGATTTAATCTCACTTCAAGTGGGGATTATGATATGATAAATAAAAAACTAAGAAATGTTGGTGCACCTAGTGCTAATACTGATGCTGCTACAAAAAAATATGTTGATGATAATACCACTGGAACACCCTCAACATCACGACTAACAGTTGATTCAAACATTGATATGAAGGACCGCTTTCGTATTTTAAACCTCAAACATCCACTTGACGCAGATGAACCAGCCACAAAACAATACTCAGACAGTCGTTTTCTTGACAGAAATGGTTCACGAACAATGATTGGCAATTTAAGTATGAATAATAATAAAATAATTAAACTTGGCGCACCAACAGCTAATGATGACGCCGCAACAAAAAAATACGTTGATGATAATTCCACTGGAACTTCCTCAAGACTAACAGTTGATTCAAACATTGATATGAAGGACCGCTACCGAATTACAAATCTTGTCACACCACAGGATTCTAAAGATCCAGCAACAAATATTACGTAGACAACACATTCCTTGACACAGATGGTTCCTACCCCATGAAGGGAAATCTTAATATGGATAATAAAAAAATAATTAACCTTAGACCGCCAACATCAAACACTGATGCAACAACTAAAAAGTATGTAGATGATGCAATACCTGATACTAGTTCTTTTATAAAAAAAGATGGAAGTGTAGTAATGACTGGAGACTTCAACACTGGCGGTCACAAAATACTAAATCTTCGAACACCTACAACAAACAGTGAACCAGCAACCAAAAAGTATGTCGATGATAAAACTTCTTCTGGTGGAAGCAGTGGAGGTAGTTTAGACCTATCTAATTATTTGAAAAAAGATGGTACCGTTACTATGACTGGTAACCTAAATCTTGGAAACAAAAAAATAGTTGGTCTCGCAACTCCTACATCAAATACAGATGCTGCAACAAAGAAATATGTTGATGATAATAGTGGAAGTCCAGACCTGTCTGATTATTTGGAAAAAGATGGTAGCGTCGCTATGACTGGTAACCTTAATCTTGGAAATAATAAAATACTTAACCTCAGTGACCCCACCACAGATCAACAAGCTGCTAATCGCGGATGGGTTCGTAAACAAATAGACCGCCTTGATAATCATTCTGGAGACGCCTCAAGTAGTGTATTTACTATAACAGATCCAGCTGCGGCAACGACTTTGTATCTACACTATATCTCAGGTTCATCATTTGATGATTTTGTTTTTACAACATCAGCACCTGGTCAACCTCTTGTAGGGTGGGCACCAACTGCTAACACATACATTAACAAAATAGAATTTCAATTTGGTTCGCGAAATATAAACGTTGACTATCTCTGGTTTATTCCTAGAGACAGTTCCCATTCCAATTCTAAGTTTTGGGTAAGTGGAAATCGCACTGGCACTTGGTCATTGATTATTCACAAGTCTTGGAGTTATGATATGTCAGGAGTAAGACTGCGAACTCATAACAATTCAAATCACACAGCTATCACTTGTCGGTTATTCACTGATCTACCAAAAGCAATAACCAAACCACTTAAGAGAATAGAAATCAACACACCTAAAATTGTAATAAGTGGGGTTATAAAAGCTGATATCGACCTTGGTGGTAATAAAATAGAGAATCTGGGTGGAGCAACCCAAGACAATGAAGCAGTAACCAAAGGTTATGTCGACTATCTAGTTCATCACACTGTAGTTCAACCAAGTCATTATAAAGATGAGTTTGCTTATCTCATGTCAAGTGGATCTCAATGGACTGATGAATCGGATGAAATTGGGTCTAGTTTTCTTATAAGAAGTATAGGAGATTTAGCACCAAACAAAGGAAACTTTCACAACTATAACCACAAAGTTATTTACGCGGCTATAACCAAAAATATTTTAAATAGATATCAGTATAAGATGGGAATTAATTTTTACAGACTAACTGCAAATACTGATTACACGTTGTGTTTGGAAATACTCAACAGTGATTATAATCTTTGGAATAATAGTCGAATAAGTGTTGACAAAGGAACTTCAAAAGGATTGTCAATTGGAAATGTAATTGTAAAAAAGTTGTCCCATAGGTATACTGATCCAAAAGGGCAAACACAAACTATGTACTACCACAGAATAATAGTTAATTTCAGAAAGTTGTCATCTGGGAATAAGTTCTTTCTTCATATTTTGGTTAGGATTCTTCAGGGTGGTTATAATATAAATGCGTATCCGAGACAGTTTTTAGGGACTTATATGATTGCTTATGGTATTATGGGTACATTTAGTAATATCGATCCAGATAAAGTTTACGATTATCACACCGCATTTGATATCCACCCAGGATATGTGATGTTCAATGTTCCCCCCATCATAAATCGAAAAAAATTAGCACATATCAGTCTTGACCAAATAGGTGATGATAATTTTGCAACAATTAAATCAGTAAAAGAGTTAATTCCTTTACTAGAAAAAAAGAATTTGTATGAAAAATACTTTAGTGAGTTCTATGACTTTGCTGATGCGGGTAGTTATGGAATAAATATAGGCTCATCTGGAGTTATTATAAATTCTTTGAAACCTAATATTACACTACCACCTAATAAAGACTTAGATGAAATAACAGAAAAAGGATTAAATATTAATGGTTATGATATTACTTTTTCTCCTTCACATTCTTCAAAATATACTTTATGTATTGTTTTTTCTCATTGGAGAAATAGGAGTTTTACCCTAACTAAATATTTATCAACAAACAATAATATGTTAGTAAAATTGGATTATAATAAATCAAACAATAAAGTAACTTTAACTGTCAACAAAACAACTCAAAATTTTATCATGTTAAGTAGTTTTAACGGAAAATTTATTGTTTTATGGCTAACAGAAAATCTTAGTTCAAATGTTACAAAAGTTTCAATAAGTAACTACAGCTCAACATTAACTATACCAGCTGTTAATTACAATACTAATCAACGTTGGAAGTTTACAACTGAAGATGGAGTGATATTAAGATTAATGTACTCTCCAAAATTTTACGACTTTGACTCTGAGCAATTTCACAAAGTAATGCTTCAAGAAAAGTTAAGTGGAAGTTATATAACATAAGTATAAATGAAAAGAAATAGTAGTAAAAAGAGTATTTTTGAATTTAATCATATTGATAAATCTTTATCAAAAGAGCAAATAGAAACTATTACAGATCTTTATAAACATTACCATAAAAAACATTGGTGTTATAAAAAATCTTATAAATCTTATAAATTTTTAGATAATTTTTTTACTATTTCTAGTTTGTCTCTTATTGCTGTAGGCACTATCTCAGGAGGAATAACACTCAATCCTATTATTCTTGGTGTAATCAACGGTGCAGGGATAATTGTGGGTGGGGTTGCAAAAAAGAAAGATTTTAAGAAAAAGATAGAAACAACAAAGCTGGCTTATACTACTTACGAGAAAGTTCTCGTTGAATTACGATCAGCACTCAGAGGAGATGAGTGGAGTAAAGAAGAATTTATAGATCGTATTAAAATATTAGATGAAATAATAATTGATCAATGTCCATCAAGTGCTGATAACTTTGTAGAGAAGTATAAAAATAAATTTAATATATAGATTAAAATACCAACTTAGTATTTTAATCTAAGTATCTAAAGGTATATTTTTTATTATCTTTCTTTGAAGTTGCTGTTTTACAAGATTTTCTTTTACAACAAATATTTGAAATATTACCAGCACTAATATTTAATTCAATCGCAGCTTTTTTGATTGATATAAATCTTCTTTCTTTTCTATCTTTAATACAAGTAGAAATTATTGCCTTATTTTTACTTTTTTCAACATTTTGCTTATGTGTAAGTAATTGCAAATTTTTAATTCTATTATCAGTCTTCACAGGAAAAATATGATCAACTTCAAAACCATGTGGAATTGGTCCGCGAAAAACTTCATAAACAAATCTATGTTGATAGTAAAACTTTGGTTTTTCTAGTTTTTTATTGCAAATAATAAAAAATAAATATCCATTAGAATCTTTATTTTTATTTATTATTTTCTTTCTTTTAAGAGAGTAAATATCTCCATCTTTATTTGCAGCATAATTATCAAAAACTGGATGTTTGTAGTATTTTACACCATCAATTACTACTCTTTGTTTTATTCTTGAATCCATTATTTTATAATAGCCATACTTACGAATAGATGGAAGTACTTTTGAAAAAACCCATCTTTTAAAAAATTTAGCAGTTTCTAACTTTGAAGAAAAAACAAGAGAATAAAATCCACTTTCATTTATAAAAACACAATTTTGTAAACCCCCCGTCGTCTGGACGCCCCCTTTATATTTATTCATCATTTGATGATTTTGTTTTTACAACATCAGCACCTGGTCAACCTCTTGTAGGGTGGGCACCAACTGCTAACACATACATTAACAAAATAGAATTTCAATTTGGTTCGCGAAATATAAACGTTGACTATCTCTGGTTTATTCCTAGAGACAGTTCCCATTCCAATTCTAAGTTTTGGGTAAGTGGAAATCGCACTGGCACTTGGTCATTGATTATTCACAAGTCTTGGAGTTATGATATGTCAGGAGTAAGACTGCGAACCCATAACAATTCAAATCACACAGCTATCACTTGTCGGTTATTCACTGATCTACCAAAAGCAATAACCAAACCACTTAAGAGAATAGAAATCAACACACCTAAAATTGTAATAAGTGGGGTTATAAAAGCTGATATCGACCTTGGTGGTAATAAAATAGAGAATCTGGGTGGAGCAACCCAAGACAATGAAGCAGTAACCAAAGGTTATGTCGACTATCTAGTTCATCACACTGTAGTTCAACCAAGTCATTATAAAGATGAGTTTGCTTATCTCATGTCAAGTGGATCTCAATGGACTGATGAATCGGATGAAATTGGGTCTAGTTTTCTTATAAGAAGTATAGGAGATTTAGCACCAAACAAAGGAAACTTTCACAACTATAACCACAAAGTTATTTACGCGGCTATAACCAAAAATATTTTAAATAGATATCAGTATAAGATGGGAATTAATTTTTACAGACTAACTGCAAATACTGATTACACGTTGTGTTTGGAAATACTCAACAGTGATTATAATCTTTGGAATAATAGTCGAATAAGTGTTGACAAAGGAACTTCAAAAGGATTGTCAATTGGAAATGTAATTGTAAAAAAGTTGTCCCATAGGTATACTGATCCAAAAGGGCAAACACAAACTATGTACTACCACAGAATAATAGTTAATTTCAGAAAGTTGTCATCTGGGAATAAGTTCTTTCTTCATATTTTGGTTAGGATTCTTCAGGGTGGTTATAATATAAATGCGTATCCGAGACAGTTTTTAGGGACTTATATAATTGCTTATGGTATTATGGGTACATTTAGTAATATCGATCCAGATAAAGTTTACGATTATCACACCGCATTTGATATCCACCCAGGATATGTGATGTTCAATGTTCCCCCCATCATAAATCGAAAAAAATTAGCACATATCAGTCTTGACCAAATAGGTGATGATAATTTTGCAACAATTAAATCAGTAAAAGAGTTAATTCCTTTACTAGAAAAAAAGAATTTGTATGAAAAATACTTTAGTGAGTTCTATGACTTTGCTGATGCGGGTAGTTATGGAATAAATATAGGCTCATCTGGAGTTATTATAAATTCTTTGAAACCTAATATTACACTACCACCTAATAAAGACTTAGATGAAATAACAGAAAAAGGATTAAATATTAATGGTTATGATATTACTTTTTCTCCTTCACATTCTTCAAAATATACTTTATGTATTGTTTTTTCTCATTGGAGAAATAGGAGTTTTACCCTAACTAAATATTTATCAACAAACAATAATATGTTAGTAAAATTGGATTATAATAAATCAAACAATAAAGTAACTTTAACTGTCAACAAAACAACTCAAAATTTTATCATGTTAAGTAGTTTTAACGGAAAATTTATTGTTTTATGGCTAACAGAAAATCTTAGTTCAAATGTTACAAAAGTTTCAATAAGTAACTACAGCTCAACATTAACTATACCAGCTGTTAATTACAATACTAATCAACGTTGGAAGTTTACAACTGAAGATGGAGTGATATTAAGATTAATGTACTCTCCAAAATTTTACGACTTTGACTCTGAGCAATTTCACAAAGTAATGCTTCAAGAAAAGTTAAGTGGAAGTTATATAACATAAGTATAAATGAAAAGAAATAGTAGTAAAAAGAGTATTTTTGAATTTAATCATATTGATAAATCTTTATCAAAAGAGCAAATAGAAACTATTACAGATCTTTATAAACATTACCATAAAAAACATTGGTGTTATAAAAAATCTTATAAATCTTATAAATTTTTAGATAATTTTTTTACTATTTCTAGTTTGTCTCTTATTGCTGTAGGCACTATCTCAGGAGGAATAACACTCAATCCTATTATTCTTGGTGTAATCAACGGTGCAGGGATAATTGTGGGTGGGGTTGCAAAAAAGAAAGATTTTAAGAAAAAGATAGAAACAACAAAGCTGGCTTATACTACTTACGAGAAAGTTCTCGTTGAATTACGATCAGCACTCAGAGGAGATGAGTGGAGTAAAGAAGAATTTATAGATCGTATTAAAATATTAGATGAAATAATAATTGATCAATGTCCATCAAGTGCTGATAACTTTGTAGAGAAGTATAAAAATAAATTTAATATATAGATTAAAATACCAACTTAGTATTTTAATCTAAGTATCTAAAGGTATATTTTTTATTATCTTTCTTTGAAGTTGCTGTTTTACAAGATTTTCTTTTACAACAAATATTTGAAATATTACCAGCACTAATATTTAATTCAATCGCAGCTTTTTTGATTGATATAAATCTTCTTTCTTTTCTATCTTTAATACAAGTAGAAATTATTGCCTTATTTTTACTTTTTTCAACATTTTGCTTATGTGTAAGTAATTGCAAATTTTTAATTCTATTATCAGTCTTCACAGGAAAAATATGATCAACTTCAAAACCATGTGGAATTGGTCCGCGAAAAACTTCATAAACAAATCTATGTTGATAGTAAAACTTTGGTTTTTCTAGTTTTTTATTGCAAATAATAAAAAATAAATATCCATTAGAATCTTTATTTTTATTTATTATTTTCTTTCTTTTAAGAGAGTAAATATCTCCATCTTTATTTGCAGCATAATTATCAAAAACTGGATGTTTGTAGTATTTTACACCATCAATTACTACTCTTTGTTTTATTCTTGAATCCATTATTTTATAATAGCCATACTTACGAATAGATGGAAGTACTTTTGAAAAAACCCATCTTTTAAAAAATTTAGCAGTTTCTAACTTTGAAGAAAAAACAAGAGAATAAAATCCACTTTCATTTATAAAAACACAATTTTGTAAACCCCCCGTCGTCTGGACGCCCCCTTTATATTTATCTTCTATACTTACATTTTTTCTTATTGCTTGTGTTGTATCTCGGTAACCGAGTATCTTAGCTACTTCTTTAGCCTTGAACCAAATATTAAGTTTTTCATCAATATAAGATTTAAACTTGATTCCAAGATGTTTATTTATAAAAACTTTTTCTAAAGTGTTTTCCATTTATAATTTAATTTTATTTCTTTAAGCCATAATTAATTTTTTTACTCTAATAGTAATTAATCATAAGTATCTAAAGGTGTTATACAATTTTGTTCCCCACCAAGGGGGCCCTGAATTGGGGCCCCCTTTAATCCATCTGCCTTGGACCTGACGCCCCGTTTCAGGGTGTCAGCTCTTTTTTATCTTTAAATACCTGAGGTCGTGAAACGCGACCTCAGCTCTTTTTTATCTTTAAATACAACTATTTCCCTTTATTTTTTTTATATTTTTGAAATATAAAAAATTATGGATATAACTTTTTCTCTCTTAAAAGTTTTTCAAGACCTTTAACATCTTTTCCATAAAAAAATTTTTTCATTTGTTTTTCCTGTTCCTCATTCATTGTAAGACCATAACCTTCAGCAAAATAAGCATCTTCATCTATTTCTTTTTTATTCAAATAAAATTGTTCTGGAGCATGAGTTTTTTCAAGTGCCTCAACCAATTCTTTTAGTTTTCTTCCTATTACAGGATCTTCAACTTCAACATAAATTTTCATAGGAATGTATTCATCAGTATCTAGTTGAATATATTTTCTTAGCTCATGAAAACGAGTACTCTCTTGGTCTTTTTTCAACTCCTCAGGTTCCTCAAGTTCTTTTGAGTAAACTACTTCCTCATCAATATCAGTTAAAAATTCTCTTTCTTCTAATGACATATTGTTGCAGTCTATAAAACCAAGTATACTACCCAAAGATCTTTCCATTTTAACCAAGTAATCTAAAACAGATGGATGAAGTTTGTATAAAACTTCACAGATATGTTCTAGATTTAACAATGAGCGAGGATTAATTTGTATTCTCATTTTATATATAATTATATAAAATGAACAGCCCCTCTCAAAACTATTTATTTAACCCTTTATAATAATTCCACCATTTTTCATAAATCTCTAAAGTTATAGAACTAATCTTAAGTTCAATAAGTTTATACTTTTCACAACCCATCTCCTCCAAAATTTTTTTGGTTAAATAATTAATATTTATCATTCTCTTTCTGAAGTATTGCTTGTTTAGTATTTCCATAATATGATTATCTATTTTTGTTAGTTTATCGTAAAGTTCACATTTTTCTTCATCATTTAAGTTTATTTTTTTAGAAATTTCATTTACCTTTTTCTCATAGTGATATTTCCTTTGGTAAATACTCTTTTTTCTATAATGCAACCTATCCAAATCTTTTACATCAAATAATCCTAATACATGGCCATTTACTACACCACATTTTTCACAAATTTTTTGACCTAAATCTATTGTAAAAAATTCAGTATTTGGACAATTTAAACATTGTGCTTTTTTACTAACTTGTTGAATAGGTGGTTTCTTATAATTATGAAGTATATCTAAATATTTTTTTATTTCCTCCTCTGTATAAGTCATTTATTATTTAATACTTTACTACTTTTAAATTATTTTTTTTATCTAAAAGCTAAAGTATGAACATTATCCTCTAAAACTATTCTTTTTTCATCTTCATTACTCAGAGCTATTTTATTAACTTCTTTTGAATATATATCATGTTTTTCACTTCTTATTATTTTCATACTTCTCATTTCTTTTTCACCTGAAAATAGACATTTAACATAATCATCAAAATCTATTTTCTTTTTTACAACATTTTTCTTTATCCCTTTACACTTTTTTACTTCCCTATCCTCTTCAATTTTAAAACTATAAAGTTTAGGACGCAATCCAACAAAATGTGTTATCTGTTTTCCTGCTACTTCATCTTTAAACATTCCAATCACTTTTTTATTAACTCCTGTACTTATCCCAGAAGGATGAAGTAGAGGATAATCAGAAGTATCAAACTTACCTCTTACATCAGGACATATATCGAGATAAAAATCTTTTGTTTTAATCTCATACATTAGACTATCCGTATCTGTAAATAATAATTCTGCTTTATTTTTATATTTTTCTTTAATGTATGTGTAATGAAAATTGAACATTAGTGTTTTTGATAAATCTAAAATTGCTTGACCAACATATACTGGTTTATTAAAATAAATTTCAGTATTTTTCATATGTACTGCAATAAGATTTTTATCAAATATTGTTGCTCTTTCAAAGTTTGGTCGACTTGATAGTTTGACAGCTTTTTTTCGATTATCCACCAGAATTATATTTTGTCTTTTTCTTATGTTTTCTATTGTTTTTCCAAAAACACTATTGTTCATTAATTTAAAAAAGTCTTTCTCAAAACTGTTAGATGCTGTTTTTCGAAGTTCTGTATTTTTTCTTATATAAGGTTCCATCCAAGGAGACTGATAAAATGAAATTCCTCTATGTACAGCAGTTATTCTCATTCCCATTTCAAGATATTGTCTTAGATTTCTATAATGTACAACATAGTTTTTTCGGGGTTTAAAATGACAAATAAGTTTTTCCACACCATTAACAATCATTCTCTCAGGTGCTAAAGGATAGTCATTATGTGATGTCCATAGTTTTTCAGGATACTCCAGATCTACTTCAAATATATAACCTTTGTTTCCAAGATTTGACATACTATGATTCGTTTTTTCCAAAATATCAATTACATTTTCTTTTGTTAAATCACTCATCCATTTAAATCCATGTGTTGGAAGTGATTGTAACATTGCCCAACCATAAAGATTGTTTGCGTCTAGATATTGAATAAAAGTAGACTCTTTATCAGGATTGTAATCTTTCATATATTTGTTATTTGCTTCTGAATATCTTTTTGATATATGAGTAATACCACCACGAATACCTTGCTCAAACATCATTAACATATCATAATCACTTAGTAGTTGTAGATGTTGCCCTGTTGTTTTCAAACATGCATCCCAAGCTAGACCTGGGGATGTATAATAATGTGCTGGATCCAAATTGTAATGATGAAGACAAGTTTTTCTAAAATTCTCAAATACATCCGCCAAAAGTAAAACATCAGACTTTAAGTAAAGATTGTGATAATCTCTGATTGTTTCGCAATTAAAAGTATTCCAAACATTAGTAGCATGTTGATAATCATCATCTGATATACCTTCATCATTTAAGTAGGAGTAAAATTCTTCTTTTGGAGGAAGTTGTTTTTCTGATAATTTATCAAGTGATGAAACATAATCATAAGGATAAACACCTTTACGAGTTAGTAAATCTACATCCTCCTTAAATACTTTTCTTGTATTATGAAAATCATTTGTTTGTAAATTTCCAACAAGATTGGCAAGTGATGTTTGAAGAAACTTAAACGAATCTATAAATCGTACTTCAAAATTCAATGAAACCATTTCCCCAGTAATTTTAGATTTATACTCAGCAACTTTAATCTTTTTCGAAAAGGATATGTATTTTTCCTCTGTTGATGGAATACAGTTTAAATCACCTGGTAAACAAGCAAGTTGCTTTATAAACAAATGTGCGTCATAACCTTGAAGATTGTGAAATATAACTGGAAGAATCATTGGTTTTCTACACTGGAGATTGCAACTGTTATGAGCAGCTCCACGGTATTGTCCTGTAAAATGACAATGATCTCTAACTTTGTCAGTTTTTAATTCCATCTTACAAATATGGCAAAATTTCTCTTTATTAAATGATACTTTTTCTTCTTTTGTTAAATGAAGAGGTTTTGGTTTAAGATAAAAATCGTTATAAATACTTTTAGTTACTTCTTCGAGTTTATTTACAAATATCTCAGCTACATTATCATCATTATTGTTTTTTGTATAAATAATTGGTTTAATTGTTTTTGATACTATCCCCTTAATATACAAACAAAATCCTGAAGGCTCATGCTTTTGATAGTTGTAAGTATAAGAATACTCTGGGTTAGGGCTACAATTATTTAATGGTTTAGTAAAGCATTCAAAATCAGCATAAACTACAAAAGGAATAGGTAGTTGTTTGTAGTAATTTTTGAAATATAACATTGTTTTTGGTTCAGGCATTTTAACAACCACTGTTTCATTATTTGAACAATATAAGGTATGTTTTTGTAATAATTCTTCTTTAGTGTAATGAGTAAAACACTTTTTACAAATAAGTATTTTTTCCTTACTTTTAGTTTTTTGAGACTTAATCAAACGATTAAAATTTTTGATTAATGTGTAATGTGAAACACCATCTTTCTCATATAAAAATAAATCTATAGTGTTTAAACAATCTTTCTCTGCCATTTTCAAAGGGTAAAAAATTTTTTTTTCATCAACTGAAAAAACATTAATTCCTGGAATTTCTGGATTAAGTTTTTCAAATTTTAAAATATCTTTTAATTTCATAGGAAAAATAATTCCTTTAGTGTTAAGAGAATTTTCATATTCTTTTAAATCCTTTAATCGCGAATCATTATCTTCTCTTGGATGAAGATGCCTAAGTATACACCAAAGAAAACATTTTTCATCTTTGTTTTGAATATTAACTATTGCTTTTTTATTTGTTATCCAATCAGGAAGAGGAATGTAAGACGACCCATTCGTTGGATTATATTCAACAGTATGAATTTCAAGTTTATCAACTTCTTTAAAAAACCATCCACTTCCATTTTTTTGATAAACTTCAATACTTTCTTCAATAGTACCTTTACATTTTTGAATTAATTTGTCAACATCTGTTGATTTAATATTAATATGTGTTTTTGTATTAAAGTAAGCTTTATCGTTTTCAATTCCTATAATACCATCTTTTTGTGAAGTAATATGTTTTTCCATGATACAAACCAAAACCATCTTTAATTTTATATTGCGATGATATGTAAAAAAATCTTTTAAATTTTTATTTACTCTCTCAAAAAACTCCATTGGAGTCAAACCAAAAATTCCTCGAATAATATATTTAATAGCAAAGTCTTCAAGAGCTGATTTTTCTTTTTCAAGTCCTAATTCATAATGTTCAAAAATAGCACGCTCAAGAGCTTTACGAAAATAAGGAGGAGTATCTTTGGGAATCTCTCTATTTTTTATACATTCCTCAAAAAACTCATCAAATGTTTTT